CGCTGAGAATGGAACAGCCGCCTGTTTTTCTCAGCTATTGTCTCGCTAACGGTTGGCTTTCTCGGACACGTGTTCCAGATGACTTCGAATAGCACTCGGCTGTTCTCAACAGCACTGGCATTCTCCACTTCACGAGCCTGCAATCCACCAACGTTACCGGCCAACTCGAAGACTCCTTGTCAGACGCTGTTTCAGGAAGTTACGGACACGCTGAAACTCAGTGCTCAATGGAACTTGTTTCCGTGCCGCGATCAAGCTGATTGGTGCCTCAGACATCCAATCACAGTTATGCAGTCCCAAGTCAAGTGTACAACATGCGTCAAAAGCGTTCTTCATGGCATATCTGAGACGATCCCAGTCCAAGTTCGGTGAACTAACCTCATTCATCACTGACAATTGGTGGGCCAGTTCGTTATGCTATTGTTGAACTGTTACAGATAAGATTAGGAGATAGACGCTTCGTTGAAGGGGGAAGAGTGGGCGCCAAGCGTGCGCTCACTAGGGCCTGGTTGGAAACCAGACACGTGCTCCAAACGGACCGGAAGTCTTTGCCGGCTCGTAGCCTTAAGGATCACAGGCCAGCCGTGTAATCTGAGGGCGTGGGTTCGAGCCTGCGTAGAGGACCGGGCAACCTTCGCAGTATTCTTAGCCCACGTGCGACCGGTGATGGTTGCACCGCAGTGAAGCGTCGGCACTGTGTGCCGGCCTATTGCTGCTGCCATCTGTAGCTGATGGCAATATGGTCAATTTGGGTCCAGGTCATGGAGGAATTCGGTGAGCACCAGATGATGCGTTGAGAACGTTTATACTGGAAATCAATGCCGCTAAAGGTTGTGGTCAGCGCACACAGTTGCAGGAATCGATCACCACAGTCTGTTCGGCGTGCGCCAATTCAGAAGCGGCCTCCTAGGTGTTGTTTAGAGTCTGAGGTACGATCCACTTGGGCATTCATGTCACCAACAACAATCACGATGTCAATATTCTTCGCCATAAAAAAAGAGATGGGGGTTCACGAAAGAACACGTGTTTGATACCCTGAACTACATTCAGTAGAGTCGTAAACTAAGGAGAAGAAAAGGCACCTTGTTTACAGACGCTGCTTAGTAACTCCAATAGAGGTTCGAAGTCGAATCGCACACATGCAGCTGTTCACTGGCATACAGTCGAACAGATTGCTTTCATCATCTTTGCTGAAGGCGATATCAATACCTTAAACGAATTGAGCCATTGACTCAGTATTGCCAGAGACGCGAAAAGTACAGTTATTATCGTCAGATTTGGAACCAAGAAGCCAAAGATTCGTCACAACACTGTTACCTTATATGTGTGTTTCGGAGACAGCGCACGTCAATAGCAAAACAGTGACGAGTGAGAGTTAGTGCTGCCTACCGGCCGATTGGACCTAGAGTGCGAATGTTAAAAGAACCGATGTGAAATGAAACTCTAAGTCTGATGGAGGAGCTACATGTATCGATGGCAGCAACAGCTGCGCAGTCTGTCGGCAGTCTGTCGCTCATTAGACAATGAAGAAGAGAGTTAGGCGGGGTGAGAAAAACCAGAAGAGGGAGTATTGTCGACGGGCTCAGGAGGGCAAATGATGCCCGTTCCGAGGGGTGCGTTTTGTTCGAGGTACTATACTTCTAGCCTTTTGACTCAACAGTCTGACTCACATGAGAGTGGGGCATATAGAGGTTCGTTTAAGGGGCTCCATCCGGAGCCTTTGGCTAAATAGCCTGACCCACAAGGCAACGGGGGAGCAAGTCCAGCTCGGGAGCGTGATTACAGAGACCCATTGGGGTCTTCTCGAGGCCTGCCACACAATTTTTAAAAATTTAGAACGATTTACATGTTTTCCGATCGTAGTATATTACGCACTTGCGATCACGGCCAGCCGCAGATGGGAGTTGGCGGATTTGCACCAATTTGACCAGGGACTGCTTGGATTGAGGCTGGCGGTAGCGTGGCGTGGCGTTCATGCTCTACGCCAATCGGGCTGTGAGCTTATAACCCGTTGTCTCCCATGGCTAGGTTTTGTGGGAAGAGGCTCATCGACCCCTCCTTAACCTCCGAAGATGATTGGATTGTGAAACTGTTAGTATGACCCCTAACCACTAACCTGTCTGGTGGTAGCGGCTCCAAAAGCACTTGGAAAGGGTCACCCAGCGTAGCTTAATTGTTCACGAAAGCACGCAAACCATCGCACAACGTCACGGTCCAGTCTCGTTGTGATAGACTGCCACCAATAATAATGGAAATGCCAAGCACACACGTCCCGCGAAAACGCACTGTCCATTAATAGGGAAGCATGGATAGGAAGGACACTTTTCACACATGCACACCAGTCTACGCCGTATAAAGACGTAAGCAGGTTGTGAGGACGCGCAAGCAATCAATCACGTGAGGAATTTCCCGGTCACACGTGATCAGAAATGCAATCATGTGACGGTTGAAACCGTTCCATTGTTGTTGTTGGGATATCCAATTTACAACAGCTTCCTCGATTAGGGTCAAGTGATCGCATTTAGTGATCAAAGTCCTTTAGACAAACAGGGAAAACAGCACAGCCACAATCGAGGAACGGCAAGAGAGCGACAGCGTGCTACCCCAAAATCATTAACTGACGGAAGCGAAACCCAATTTCCAGCGTCATAAAAACAGTGTGGAATCCGCATTGTGTATTGTGGCGAAAAACAAGCCAAATGATCTAACTTTCTGACGGGAAGGTCGGTAAAGAAGTTGACGATGATGAGAATGTGATGAGCAAATATTGGGGGTAGTATGTTTAGAACAGTTAATACGATTTTGGCCTATTTGCTCTATAGCAACATTGGCATAATGACAGGTTACTTTGCTCATTACAGCGGCCAATGAAAAAGTAGAAAATCTACGATGATGATGGCCGGTTGTTTACAACAGCGGCCAAAAATATCGAGTCAACATGATAACGGCTTAGTTGCTTTTAAGCTGCATCAGTACACGGCCAATTGAGGCGTGGAAGGGGGGAGGAAATCTCTTGAGGGACTACCATGCATGCATGTATATGGAAGCAGATGCACAGGAGACGGTTCCACGAGTGGCCGTAGTACTTTACTTAAACTACTGGCTTTGCCTACGCTCTACATTCCGTATTTCCATTTTACATAGTTGTACACAGCAAAAACTTCTCTGGGAACTAGTTTATAAAACTTAAATATTCCCCTACCATCGAGTATACTGTACAAAGTAATTAAACCACATAGTCGGTCTGTGTCTCGCATCGTCGAGAAATATGTCGTTAGCTATATCAGCGCCAGGGAAATGGAATATGAGATCATAAACCGTAGGTACTTATCACTTGCCTAATAAATATTTGGCAGAGTGCCACAACACATGAGTAACAATAACAAAAAGGCAGAAGTGAGAGTCAGCTGAATAGATGGAAAGCTCCATGTGCTGTGTGGGTATTGAGCTTCCCGGTTGCCCAGGCCGAAGAAGAGGGTTGACTTTAGGGATCCCAGTCCGAGCCTTTGGTCTGAAAGACCTGACCCACAAGGCAGCGGGGTGATTTACGAAGACCGTTGACAGCCACACGGCTCATTCGCCTTCTTTGTGTTCGGAAGAAGTCCACAGAGAAGCCGGTGGCTAGCGAGATTGTTCATCCGCCCTCCGTTAGATACTCACCTCCGGTTACAGGAGTGAGTGGTCAGTGACCCTATAAACGGTCACATTGGCTTCGATACAGCGCCGTGCGACCACTTGTGGTATTTAATGAAAAACCAGCCCAGAAATCCAACGCTCTGAGACGCTGCTGCTGATTGTCCGCGACTGCTCATTCATCTCGCCTGCAAAGCAAACGAGACTTATTCGCAGTTACCTCAAGGAAGGCACTCCCCGAGGCGTAACCTGGGGAAGCGCCCGATAGCGTACAGCACCGCCACGAACCGTATAGCAAAAGCTAAAAACGGTTTTGCCGATCTCCGCCATCAGTGGTGCAAGCGCGTCCTGAAGGGCAGTTTACAACGTAGCCGTCCGTTGCGAAACCTGGCCCAACAAACCGATAGGCATAAAGATGTCAGTTAAGTTCGATCATCGCTGTCTTCGCATCTTAGCTCATGTCTGGTGGGAGCAGCGCATGAGCAATGAGCGTGTACGGCATCGCGAATTTGGTGCAAAAAGAGCCAGTCAACCTTTCGGCATCGATAGGTTTTGATGGCTGAGCCACGTGCAGCACATGCCAGCACACCAACTCCCGCATCGTGCGTTGTTCGCGCGCCAGGAGTCTGGATGGAAGAAGAGAAGAGAGGCCAAGCGATGACTTAGTCTAGAGGAATGAAGTCCCACAATAAGAAGTTGGTGAGTCCCGAGTGCCGGGCTGGGGTCCGAAGGACGATGAACACAGTCGGTTGGATATACTACTTGGCATGGCAAGGAGTTGTTTGTGCTGTTAGTTTCCTTGTCCCTCCGCATCCCGCTAATCTTCACCCTCTAATTATGATCTCTCTCTTGGAGAATATTTTCTCAGCATCATCATTATACATGTTAGCTAGAGGTGGGAAACACCTCAGCTACTGTGCCGCAATACGTGGAAGAAAAAAGGGGCAGTGTGTTACCTGTTTTTGACATTCTACAACGAAACGTCTGCAACAGGAATGCCCAACTCGGAGAACACGATGTTTGCTATCTTGCTATTTTGTATATCTTATCTTGATGTCTTGTGACACAATAGTTGAAATGTGTTTCCCATCTTCAGCTAATGTGTAACGATGATGTTGATGATGCTAACTTAGATGGAAGACAAAATGCTCAGCGGATAGAAAGGTAGGCGCGAATGGAAACGACAAAAAGGATGCAAATGGGTAATGTCGTGCCAAGTTGTCTCACTGCTGTGGTACGATACAGCTGGCACATTTGAAATGTGGGGGTTACATGGCAGTTAGGAAAGTGCAGCAAAGTAAAACGGAGGGAGCCGTAGTGTAAGGTGCACTGAGGATGACGGTGGAGTGTCCTAACTACCTACCTACCTTTATTGACTGATTGTAACGTGACCAGTTGATAAGTCCATTTGATAAGCATCACATAATCTTGAATGACGCTTGGATCAATTTGTTCTGAGTTCGTCAAGGTAGGCAGAACCATCTGTTTGACATACCACTGGAAGACAGCGCGGGCGTGAGCCACAATTGTAGACCATGCAGGTGTTTGTGCGCGAGATCCGTTCTGGATGGAGCAGTGTTCATGTAAGCGCAACTCGATGTTCATCTGGTGCAGTCGTAGGTCCAGCAATTGGGGCACCAGAGTTTTGGAGATCGGACCAAGTGACATGTGAGCGCCAGCGGGGTATCGTGAGGGATCGACAGTGAGCTCATTGGGTAGCAACCGCATGATTTGTTTGATCATATTTCTCAGGATGTTCAACTGGGTGACGCCTAATCTCTAGACAGACAGAGAGAGAGACATGGGACAAAAACTTAAACGTTAGCATGGGAGACAGATTGCGTAAAATGATTGAAATAGCCGACCACAAAATCGCAAGTCGCTTAAAGCACTAGACCATCGTTGCCTGGATAGGTCAAGGTTGCTAAAGCTGCTATCCGAAAATGGAGTTCACCCTGGTGTGTGTAATCTATTACGTAACTATTTTACAGATCGTACTCATTACACCAAGTTGAACGGTAAGAAATCCTCTGTCCTCCTTGCTGACGGTGGTGTTCTACAGGGAGCGATCATTTCACCTTTTCTATTTTCCTTGTATGTTGAACATCCCCCTATACAAACCACGTTTATAGGGTGTAAATATGCTGATGATGTGTTGGGATGTATGTCTCCCACTAACCAGGATTCCTCATCACTTCAACATGGGTTGGAAGATCTGGTAGAATGGTCTTCATGCAGATCTCTTACGCTTAATGCTTCTAAATGCAGGGATGTAATACTTTTTTCTACGTGGCGATAAGTTGCAGTCCCTCATGGCTTTCTCCTCCACACTTACTGTGAATGAAAATTCCATACCCAGCTCTTCCACCGTCAAGTATCTCGGCGTCTTTTTGTCCTAGAGCCTTTCTTGGTCCACGCGTCTGTAATACTTTTCAAAAAGTCAGAAAACTCTCTTTTATGCCCTCAGACTTAAGGTGCTTTGAGTACCTCGTACTTTACTATTCAGGCTTGTGACCTCTTGTATTATTCCCCATTGGCTACACTGCTCTCCTGTCATTTTCTCTGGACTGCTTCAGAAAGACTACATCTTATTGGTGCGATCTATAAAGCACATTTCTAGATGCAGCGATTGTCCAGCGATTCTTTAGTTTATTTGAGTATTTCTAAACATTTCGATGTCTGCAAGGATATTTCTTCTAAGACACTAACTGACCGATTTCATCCACTTCACAAGGATCTTTCCAAAACGCTCACTTTCTCTTCTACTGGTTCGAAATTTAGAATTTTATTCTCCCGCACGTCATTGTATCGTAATATTGTTTTGCCTTATCTCTCACGTTTGCTTGTTGATCAGCAAAAGTCACTAATATTCTGCGCGAGCGCCTGTTGGAGTAACAGTTCTGCTTTTTTCCCCATCCAAGTGTCCGCAATGGTGGTGTAAATTCTGAAAATGAACCCATTAGGGTACATAAAACTTATTTTGACTTGCATGCAGGAGCACTGTTCGTATAATGTGATTCTAAGGGGACAGCAACGATGGGGTCTGCAAAAGGGCAATTATTTGTTACGACCAAGTTAGTCAAGTAGACCACAAGCGACGCTGAACAAAGTGTGCCTAATCGAGCTTGTATCACGAATGGTCATATATCGCTTGTCGGAGAGGGGTCTGCCTCGGCAATCGCTGAGGGTACGTATAACTCGCGGTGTAGACGAGCGGCTTTGGTTGTTTTCACATCCGCGTGGCTGTGCCTCCGCTAGTCGAGATATCATCTCTCGTGGCAAAAGGCTTGCGGCCAAACACCTCAGAGAACAATTAGCTGAGGCCTCTGTCGGACAAAGAGTGACGCTTAAAAGTTCCGAGGAACATGGTGGTGAGAAACGAAGTATAGAAGAGTAGTAGGGGGAGTTGTATGGTATAGGTTGAAATTCGTCACATCTAGACTCACTCAGACAGCCGCCATACGCCCGGAAAAGCACTGTACGCGCGTTTCACTCTTTCGGGAATCGCTAGCAGTGCGCATTCCATCGGACCATGGTAGGGCTCGAACCCGCAACTCGACTGTTGTCATTCCATGGTTGAGACAACTGAGCTACGGGGAACGGCAACGACCATCGTGAATAAGTTACTAGATGTGATATAGCGCCGCTCACTATCCACTGACTTACACGTTACTGCCGTGCAGAGGACAGGGTAGCGCCCTCACCAAGCGACGAGCTTAACAAACTTAAGCCGCCAATTATCTTATGGCATTATAAGCAGTTTGTTCTGCGTACTGGTTACAGAAGAGTAGTAGGGGGAGTTGTATAATATAGGTTGAAATTCGTCACATCTAGACTCACTCAGACAGCCGCCATACGCCCGGAAAAGCACTGTACGCGCGTTTCACTCTTTCGGGAATCGCTAGCAGTGCGCATTCCATCGGACCATGGTAGGGCTCGAACCCGCAACTCGACTGTTGTCATTCCATGGTTGAGACAACTGAGCTACGGGGGACGGCAACGACCATCGTAAATAAGTTACTACATGTGATATAGCGCCGCTCACTATTCACTGACGATGAAAGTGGACACCGTGGATTCATTTCGTCTTCTGATTCAAAACCCACGTGACCCGCCTTGTGCTTAGCTTGAGCCTACACGTGATATGGTTCGCAGCTGGCACCAGTGACGAGTTTGCTGTCGTCTCCTAGTCGAAATGCCTGTTTGAAGTGTGTTTGATGCTGAGTTATCTGTGGGGTATTCGCTGATTATAACGAGAAAAACGAACCGAACGATGAACGAGAGGCGAACCTAATGTATTCGATAATTAAAGCAGCCGGTATGATTCTTAGCCCACGTGATTCCGCTAACTGGCCGACGTTCAGAAGCGCCACACTGAGTTCTACGTTGTCTGTTTAACCGAGTCAAAGAGGTGCTACCGTTGTTTATGGAAACGGACGAATGCGAGAGCGTATAGAAGACAAAACATGCTGCCATTTTCTCTCAAATGTCTTTGTCTAATAGCCCACCTTTGAATGATTAACTTTGGGCATCCTGAACCAATAGCGATCTCACAGGTGATCGTACATAGACGCTTCAAGCGCTGACTGCGAGTTGAACAAGGACAGACAAGTTCAACAGTGAATAAGTCTCGGTACAAGAGTAGATGACGATTGCGATCACCGACGCCGTGATTCCATAAAGGGGAGAAATCGGACTATCAGCATTAGAATCTGGTGTTCCATGACAAATTGATGACAGTTAGTAAGAAGTATGGGGAATTATTGGATTTTTGGTGAAGTTTCGTCGCATGTAGACTCAGGTAAAAAAAGCCACTACAGATCCAGGAACGACGGAATCGTCCTATTGGGAGCAGTCAGTAGCACACATGCGCCAAACCCTGCCGGATTCGAACTCACGACCTTACTCTTACGACCGTGCGACTTATGCCACCAAGCAATGGATGACGGTAGCGAACCGCCATCACTGATATCTAACTGCGATATAGTGCGGCCCATCCTCCACTGTCGTGCATGATATGAATGTGCAGAGGATAGAGATGGTCCTCAGAGAAACGACTTTCTTTGCAAGCCGCCGCCGATCGAGGTGGCGCGTAGGCTGCTAGGGCGATTACTGATATTTAGTGAGTAGTAAGCGGGATTTATTGGGTTTTGGTGAAGATTCGTCGCAGCTAGACTCAAGTAGAGAGCCACCACACAGCCAGGAAAGCGCTGGCTTGCAAGAGCAAGGTCGTGGAATTCAATCCGGCAGGGTTCGACGGGTGTGCGAAGCGGCCGTCTAGCGCTTTCCTGGATATGTGGTGGCTGTTTGCCTGAGTCTAGCTGGGACGAGACTTCACAAAACTACTGATGATAGTACCAGGCTAAAAAACCAGAGATTGAGCAACACCGAATTTATAAATACGATATCTATGGTAGATGTCCGGAGATGTCGATGACGGTGGGGATGCGAACAAGATGCCAAAGACCGACATTTCTCTTATTTAAGCATCCGATTAGTTGGCTAATAACCATATGGAGCTTCATTTGACATTGCTCCTCCACAAAAGTGGAGTGTGACCCTAAAACCGACGGTTGCGCCCACCTTTGGACTCATCAGTTGGAGATGGCCTGAAATGGAGTGGAATGCCGGGTCTAATGGTTAACGGCAGACGCCTTGATTACTACGCTACTGAGATCCGTAAGCAACGCTTGGCACAGCGGTAAGGAATTCAAAGTTAGATTTGGAGAACCCGCTGTGTGGTTACATTACGACACGCCATCTCTATTAAGACGTCGAGTTTTGGAGCACCCGCCAAATGTCATGGATTGCGGCACACAATCACAACTGTGGCCTAAATTGAGTTTGAAGCCGGCCTTCGTCAATCAGATCACTGTGAGTACATTGTGATTGCACCGGAGTGCATGGATGAGAGAGAGAGAGAAACACGAAAATCATCCACTTCGGTCGGACACGGTCCCAGTGATTTAGAAGTTATCCAAATGAGATGTGCGCAGACAGCACGCATCTACGAAGTCGATGGTTATGATCTAGCTGCCCGGTGCAGCTCAGTAAGCAACTATGGTCGGGGCGCAAAACGCGGTGGACAGAATCGTTTTGGAGCCCATCATCCAACTTGCAAGTCTAATGATACTAATAATAATAAATTGATCACAAAAGGGACTTTCAAACTGATCGCTGCTGTTTCTCCTTGGAGTACCATTTTTACGTTATCTACTGCAGATTTATTCATTGTGTGTTGACATTCTCGCATTTTTGTTTATCTGGACAATTCTGAGGACATCAATGTTATCCTACTATGCCGCCGGAATACTGTGTGACATGCGCTCACAAAGTCCGTAACATCATCAGAGGAATCTCTAAACGCTATGGGAAAATGAGAAAGCACAGTGCTAGCTGCCAAGCTGAACTTAGACGCTGTCCTATTAACCCATTTTCTGATGGCGTCTGTTTTAAACACAACTTCTAAAGTGAGAGATTGAAGGCACTGAATTAATCTATCATTTATAATTTCTATGGCTGCAATGCTAGATAGGTTGGCTCTATGTCTAGTTGCTAGACTGTTGAGATTACATACATACATGCTAGATAGCAAGCTAATCCTCTTGAAATCACTCTAGCCAGTTCAAATTTATTTTTGAAAAAATGATTTCTTTTCCTTGAATTATTAAATGGTGGATAAATCGGAAAATCTATAATGGTGAGCGCAATTTAAGTGTTTATTCATAGAGAGGTACCAACTT